GCGTGCGTGTCGCTATTTGCGGAGTCCGGCGATGTGTGCGCGGGTTTTCTCCCGCGCCCTCCGCGGTACTTGCGAAAAGGCAATTTGTCGTCGTTGTGTGCATTATGACGATTTTCACATCCGACTTTCATCGCCGGCAGCCGGGGCGCTGTGTGCGAACCTCGCTCGTACACACTCTTTCACTTTGTCAGATCGCACCTTTGTTTGCGACGATGTCTAAACTGACCCACATGTCGTGGCTATTTTTAGAAATCATATTTAATTACAAGGTCCATATACTAACCTAATGGTTTTTGTTTTGTCTGTTTAATTACATTTAAAATACTTGAATTAACAGTTGGTTGTAATTAAGTCAGTGTAGGAAGGCCTTTTTGTCGGCGAAGATAGATCTAGTGAAAAATGTACGTTTTTTAAAACATCAAAACGAAAAGAAACAAAAACTACATTAACAAAAAAAATCTCCATTTATTTTTACATTAATTTACAAAATTTACTTAAAATTGGAAAAAACCTCTTGAAAAATATAACATTTTTGTCCTTATAAAATAATTCGTTACCGCTACGAAAGATCTGTGTCGATAACACAGACGCTTTTTGAAGATATTTTGATTCTCATATTTCATTTACTCCATTTTATTGCGCGTCAATTTGAGAGAATTTTATTCACATATCTCTAAAACTAACAGAGAAACAGCGGGAATTTACAATTATAATAATTACAAAATTACAATTATCAATAAATACTTATTATCTAGACTTAAACTATTAAAAGGTACTTTCATTAACGTCTGCAAATGTCGTAGGAAACGCCGCGAGTGAAACACGCTGTATCTTGTTTCAAATAAACATTTTTACAAAACCCTGTATATAACAAAAACATAAATCTCCAAATTAAATTACACTGGTATTGTCATTGATAATTGAAGTAGAAATGGAAATCCTTTAAAAGTATTTTTCTGAGCGTTTCACAATCGCGCGTTTAACCCACAGTGTGTTTACTCCTTAAGTACAGTTCGGGAATCTAGCGGCGATCCACCTTATATCTTCAATCGTTAGAACGTTTTGTACGCATTGAGATGACGCAGAACAAAAAACATTAGGACATAGTGTTTAAATTAGTTTGTCTTGTAATCAAGGCAATTTTTCTGAAAGTGGAATACCGCGGATTTCCGCGATTGTACCTAACATATACAAGTCACTTCATTTGCAGAACAGCGCAAAAACGCTTACTCTTATTACCATAGATTTAAAAATATTAAGAAGATATCAGAATGGAAATTATATATAACTTACATTCAAAATAATTTGTGTTTACATTTTTGTGCTCAAAGATGCAAAGGGCTCTAAATGTTACTCGATTATAATTTCATTTTGACGTATTTAAAAATGTATTTTAATATAATGTTTAATAAAATATTGTTTGACAAATTTTCAAGTAAAAGATCATTAGGTTTTTCAAATATCGTGATAAAAAAAATCTGTTACATACATAAAATTATTGTATTACTCTTGGTTTTATAAATAATGAAATTATTAAGTACCGCCGCTCATCAAAACAGAAGCTAACACGTAATTATCAAAGATAAATGATACAGATTATTTAAGTTTACTAAATAACTATAATTGTGTTTGGCGGAACAAAATGCATCGTTAATACTTATATGCACGGCTGATTTGTTTTTAGGTTGTTTTTTAACTTTATAAGGACGGCATAAATCGGCGAGCATTACATATTGCATAAGAACGGATCGTTGTTATTAGAACATTGGAATCTTTTGGGTTTTTTTGTACGTTTCCCGGACGATAAGTTCCGGCGCTCGCGTGTACGAAGGACTATACTTACTCCGTACGCTGCGTACATGTGCACTATTTGATTTATAAATTTTTAACAATGTTAGAATCTGCATATGTACCATTTCTTGCTAGAAATGGTACATATGCATATTTATTCCAAGTTGGTTATGAAGAGGCAATTCCCTGATGTACATAATTTTGTCATCATTCACTTTTTTTTTTCACGTAATAACCTTGTAATATTCTATATGGGATTTGTGACGATTTTACCATGATTTTTATTTGTGTGTTGCAATTTTACTAAGTTTAAATGAGAAGTATAAAATTAAAGAAATATATTAACTATAAGTACATGAGTAAAATTATACGACAATATATCGTTATTTTGTATTAGCCTCGTTTGCTTTGTCTTTACTTAATAATTTTACAAACTTAATTTAATGCAATGTAATAAAAACTAACATTTTATTAAATTTGACTATAAAAGGTAATTGGAGTAAATATTCACAACATTAAATTAATTGCTAATAAATATAGAAGAAGAACTACTAAAGAATTTATTAAAGCGTTACCACAAATCGAGCACTTTTAATTAGCGTATGCATTATATTGCACGCAACGAGTAGTATGTAAAAATCATTGAAATGTTTTGCTAAAGTTCATTTATCCTAAAAATACTTATACTAATTGGAATGAATAGAAAATATGAGAAACTTATCGAACAACCTTCAGTATGTAACAAATTATAAACAATGTTATCTACACAATAATAAATCTGAAGATATCTTAAAACTAGTTAACATTGCACTTGCCTTAGGAGGAGTGTTATACTACAGGGATATGAAATAATACGTGGACTCGCCTATACTTATACCGAAAGTTAACTGAAGAGTTACCATGTACAAAACTACTCTAGATTGAGATTCCGCGTCGGGACACGCACACGCGGCCACGTCACTCAGCACATTCACGCACACAACTAAGACCTATTGAAATGCTTCAGTTTGAGCCGACGCCGGCGGCAAAGGGCGCGCTAGTCGCGGCCAATCCTCTTGTGGATCTGCTGGTGCTTGATGAGATGCGCCTTCTGCCGGAACGCCTTCGCGCACACGTCGCAGCGGAAGGGCTTTTCGCCGGTGTGTGT